AATTATTCTGGAGGACAGAGAGGATACCAGCTGCGACGCTGGTGTTCGGGCAGGTTGCAATATCAACGGAGATCATGGCGGTCATGGCGACGGGAAGAGCCCCGCCCTCGGGCACACTGATTGACGGAACCGTGATCGACGCTGCGATGCCCGAGAACGTGCCCTATGCGGAAGTCAAGCCTGTCAGCACACGCGACACAGAGACATAAGAGGAGACTCACTGCAGTCGCATTTATGCTGACACCAGACACATCGTCGTCGAACTGGGTATTGTTGTTGCTCGACCGCTTGAGCACGCTGCGGGCACTACGGGCGACGCCGACCTCGCGACGGTTCCTGGGGGACGGCAGCGCAACAGCAGTCGTGGCAGCGAGAGCCAGTACAAAAGGGATGATGAAGTGCATGGCGATGTGAGCGACAGAGAGTCAAAAGAGTGGCGATGTCGTCGAGCCAAAAGAGGTGAGGAATTTGTGGTTTGGCTATGGAGCTCGGGCGAGCTTATATGCCTGTCCAGCAAGCACCGTGCGCGCTGTGATGCACTGGGGGTGTATCATCATGCACAGGGCTTTGTGAGGCAAGGCGGGGCAGGGCAAGTCTCATTGCTGTTACAATTCGAGATGTCGCAACTCAGAGTTTTCAAAGGTCGGCTGTAAGCTGAGTTTGATGGCGATGCAGATCTCAGACATTAGCCCGGACAGTCGGGACACCAACCACCGACAACCGGGACTGCCCGGTTACCGGACAGCCAATCACACGCCATGAATGCGTCAAACGCGTCTCGCACAAATTCACCCTCGCCAGCCGCGCCTCTGCTACGGTTCTCTGCTTCATCGCCCCTGGAGAGCCCGAGGCCTGAGGCCTTGCTGAACTGCCCGGGGCTGATCAAGCCGCAGCTTCTGACCGACTGGAAGCGAGCCCGCTAAGCTCTATATGTGGTTCGCAGCTACCCATAAGCGATCCGCCCGACCAGATATTTGACAACTGGCCCGAGAGATCCCTACTCGCGCAAGCAAGCAGATATGCTCCTTGCAGACCCGGCTTCCTCGGATAGCTTCGACACCGGAGCGGCAGTACCAGTGAGCATGATGATGTGCTGTTCTCCGCCGGCAGCCTGTTGCTCCAGCATCCGCCACGACTGAACTTCCTGCAACACAGGTTATAAATATGAAGTTCGGTGGGCGCCACAATGTCGCAGGAAGATCTCAGATTGGAATTTCGAGTCATGATTTCGGTCAGACGACTCTCACAAAACCCATGTCATAAGATCTGCCACATCTTGAGCTCCAGAGCCTCATCCATGGCGCGCATGCGGAGCAACGCCATACGGACCTTCGTCACCTGAGATGGAAAGTCAGTGAAAATCTAACATGCATTCAAGGAGAAGACTCACGGAGCGCTTCGATCCGGAACGAGATGCCTCTGCACTGGCAAAGTGTTCGCAGCTCGCCGAGCAGATTCTCCGACATGTGCGAGTCCGCTCCTTCGTGTGAGAACCTGTGTACAACCACAAGCTCCCTCAACCGCTTCGCTTCCCCGTTCAAACGCAGGCATCGAAGAACCGCGTCCAAGCAGTCCTCAACGTCTGCCTTCGACTCCCCACCAATTACGAACGTCAAGCTCTCGAGCAACTCAGGGATGCACCAGCACACAGCGTCGGTGTGGTCCCGCGGCGTCAGCACGCCAAGCTCGACCGAGCGCAGTTGCCCACCATGCGGAAGGCCCCGCGTGACGACCATGCACCGCTCGTGCTGCACGACCCGCACGCTCTGCAGGTGCGCCAGACACTTCTCGTCGAGCAAGCGGTCGAGGCCGAGCTGCGCCTCGAGTCCCTGGTGCCCGCCGACCTCAAGCGTACGCAACGCCGGCATGTGGTCCGCACAGAAGAACGGGCCTTCACCAAAGTATCGGTTCTCGGCCAGCTGCAGCGTGTGCAGGCGCGGCAGGACGGGCAGGTGCAGTGACGGCAGGAGGTAGATCCCGCGCAGACACAGCACGCGCAGCTGCGGCAGCACCACGTCGGACGCTGTGCTGGCGAGGACGCAGAACTGCGGGTTCGCCCGCGCCTCGAACGTCGAGCCGTGCAGACTCAGGTGCTCGATGCGGTCCGAGAGCCGTGCGGCGCGCAGGACGTCCTGAACGGGAAGGCGCGCGACCCCGCCCTTGCGCACACAGTGCCGGATCGTGAGGGAGCGCACGGCGGGGCAGTGTTGGAGTATGGTGCTGAGCTCCTCCTGCTGCACCGTCAGGCTGCGGTGGCCGAAGATCCAGCCGAGAAGGTCGGATGCGGTCGAGCCGGCATGGATGGGCGCATATATCGCCCTGACGAAGCGCGAGAGGGATGGTACATCGGAAAGCGTGCGCTCGAAGAGCTCCATCTTGCGTGTCGTGGTAAGCAGGGGCGAGCTGTAGAGTACCTCGGTGCCGACCGAGTACCAGCTGCGGCAAGTCCTGCATACCCAGGCGAGGAATGTCTGGCGGCGGACCAGGCTCTGTGTGACAGATGCAGCTGATAGCTCGGCAGAGGCGATGATCGAGGAGCTACTCTGTGTTGCAGCAACCATGTGTTCGAGAATTTCGAGGATGATCTCATCAGGGAGCTGCTGAACTGGAGGAAGACGTTGATCGTGGAGCTTGGATATGGCTTCTGGCAGCGTAGCAGAAGAGAGCAAGATGCGTTTGTGAATGCGTAGGAGCCATGAGCGTATGAAGGCGGGTAGGGCGCTGTTGGTAGGAATCGATGTTGGTGTAGAGAGCATGGTCAAAGCCGTGCAGAGTAAGTTACAGCCTGAGCCGGTCTGTTATATACAAAGAATACTTCACCTGGATATGTACCCCGCACGTCCTGCAGACCTGCACAGCGGTGTACAGGCATCTAGGGCTTTCGAGCTCGCTCCTTCTGGCCCGTCTATCCGCCAAGTCTAGAACGCGGCAAACCGGGAACCAATAGGGCCGGGTCGTGATTTATGTCCACGAGCTGGGTCTGAGCCAGCATGCGTAGTGCATTGCAAAGGCCGACGGAGGCTTCGCCGCGGCAAAGTGTGGGGTAGTGGGGGAGATTCCAGTTCAGGCTGATTGACCGCGCGAGCGGGGAGTAATACAATACTGTTATCTTAAAATTTCCACTTTCAGGGTGGAAGTCGGACCTCGCAAGCTCGCATGCGCTAAAATACGTATGGGTTCACAGCATAACTATCCATGTTGCCATGAGCATAATCGTGCCTACGAATGTTTCAAGAAAAGACTATGTGCCAAGTGAGAGTGTGAAGCGCATTCCATCAGGATTCTACCGTATTCATCTAGGGAGATCTCATCTTATCGCATAATTTCCTGGGAAGCTACCTATGGCGCTCCATATGCGCATCCCGGCGGCACAGAGGCCATGCTCAGAGCAGAGGCACAAGCAAGTGGGGGTGGTCGGAGCCAGTGCCAGAGACTGCGAGCGCAGGAGGCGGGGTCGGCCCGGAGGACGAGGCATCTACGGCGAGGAACGGGGACTGCGAGCCACATGCCTGTCGCGAGTTGGACACGGAGGGGGACGCTATCTCATATCCAACACATTTGAAGCCAATCGAGCTCCCGCTGCCGTTAGCGATTCGCGTTGGTCCCTCAGGTTCATCTTCAAATATGCCCCCGTCAGATGATTCGAAGTCTGCGGACGAGCTTTCTGTAGTACTAGTACTGTGCGTGGCAGTTTTAAGATCATAGCTGTCTTATGCGCTGACTGTGATTCGTAGGCGATACACCCGACGCCGCGGAGGTCCGTGTTCGGCCCCAGGAGGAGCGGCATGTAAGCTCTCGAGACGCGTCGTCTTTGCTCCAGAATCAGCCAGGAGATGACATCCAGGGTACGGAAGAGTATGAAATGAGAGCTTAGCACGGCGACGGCTCGGAAACTTCTGGCGCAGAAGAGTAGGGGTGGAGAGCCGCGGGAAGGCGAATGGTTCATTGAGGAATCTGTTTTCGCACCAACGACGCGCCGCGGTGCGTCTCGACGGTCTCGTGAGCGATTTATTCCACGTATCACCATCGATGCCGGCAATGAGGTCACTTCGAACCTTGCTTCTGCACAAGGAAATCAGTGCGTATATTCCCTAAGAACCATTGAAAAGCTCGTCGCGAACGCGCACGGTGTTCCTGTCGTCTCTGGCTGCCACCCGAGACTGCCTTCATTGTCACGTGGGGGCCATCAAAAATGCCGGTCGCTGTCCCTGAGCTTGGTTCGTTCGACTTTGTCCCCGAGACCAAGGTCAGCTCGGCGAGGCAAAGAGGGTCTGCTTTGTCATTCACAAAGGTGGTCAGGAAAATCTCGAATGGGCGGACCTCATTACCTTGGATTTCGACCTCCTCAGCTCTCCCGAGGGCAAGAGGGAACTCGCCCAGACTCTTGTCAAGGGTGTTCGTGAGGACGGCTTCTTCTACGTGAAGAACTTCAACATCTCTCAAGAGCGCGTCAACCGTCAGTTTGCCATCGTAAAGCGTTTCTATGACCTCCCGGTCGAGGAGAAGCTCAAGCATGTTCCCGAGGGCCTCGGTGCGTATCGCACCGGACAACTGGCGACCAACGATGCTGAACTCTGACCCAGACAACGGCAACCCTAATGGCTATATTCCTGCAGGGCGTCGTATGTGAGTAGCAATTTGCGCTCAGTCCGGCAGATCACCTGATATTTTCCACAGCTTGGACCCGGTTTCTGGGCTGAGGGACCGCGTTGAGATCTACAATATTCCCAGTACGCCGCCGTCGCGAGATGCCGAGCGAGACACATATTCATACAGTTATCAGAGTTTAACGGCGATTTTAAGCATGAACATCCCGCAATCATTCAGGAGAGTATTGCCGAGATAGAGGAGTTAGCCAGGGTGAGTGAAACATACGGAAACCACTTTACTCTATCTGACCACGTATCAGTCTCTGCATACCGAAGTCCTAGATCCTCTTCATGTTCTCCTCGCTATTGCTCTTGAACTTCCTGAAGACTACTTCATTAATATCCACAAGTATGAAGTCAAGAGCGAGGTATGTCGGTTCCGGCACAATGGCATTCAGATAACTGATGCACTCCATCAGGACCATCTGCGGTATATGAAGTATAGCAAGTACACTCCAGAGGAGCGCGCCAAGATCGGTAACCTCTGGCTATACGGCCACACTGGTGCGTGACACTCCCGGGGTCATCTCTTGTCAAAATCTCGATGCAATCTTTGTTCGTAGATCTCGGGTCGTGGACGCTTCTGTTCCGTCAGCCCGTCGCTGCTCTGCAGATCCAGAACCACAAGACCGGCGAATGGAAATACGTCAAGCCGCGGGACGCCACGTTGACGGTGAACGCCTGCGACGCGCTTTCGTTCCTTACCGGTGGATATGTTCGCAGCACCATTCATCGGTAAGAGACTTTCTGACCATTGTCAGGCGCCCTGGAGCTGACAATGTCTCTTCCAGTGTTACCTCGCCTCCGAAGGACCAGGGGCACGTTGACCGGCTCGGGTTGCTGTACTTCTTGAGGTGAGCTGGCTCTAACGAGTCATCCTTGTCCTTCTCAAACTCCGCATTCAGACCGAACAATCATGTCAAGCTCTGCACGATCAAAGATTCGCCCGTCCTAGAGCGCGAAGGGTACACGGACAATTCGTTCGAGAAGGGCGGGAACTATGTACCGACCATGGAAGGTCAGTCATGCCGTCCACATGGGCGGGTCTCAATACTGACTGGTCCACAGAATGGACATTTGCCAAGCAAAAGTGGCAGCGCACGAAGGGTACCGTTCGTGGCGATTCTAAGTACGAGAACGCACAGATCCTTCCTGGATACAACGAGAAGCATTATGCGTGAGATTGGAAGGAAATACGTAAAATGTACTATAGCAGGAGCCTGGTTGATTATGTGCGATGGACTAGAACGTACACAGCCTACCCCGCCTTGCTTTCACCCAACACAATAACAGTTCTATCTTGCCGGTCTTGGGCATCGCCCTGCATCGCCTTTAGCACTCAGCTCCTCGATTCCGCAGACAAATCCGGTCGCGTGTTTGATGGAAAAGCTCGCGCCGGATGTGACATGTACGACGCCAGTCGCATGCACGGACTGACCGGGCTGCATCTGCACGATTCGTCAATCAGCATCGCCGATTGAGCTACAGAGTTCACACCCGTGCTCGTAGCTCGGCGATCCCCATTTACAGCATCAAAAACGGGTCGCGGTCGCTCGCCCTCCTGCTCGTAGGGGTAGCAGCTGTACTGGTTCCGCGAAATAGAAAGGGGTGTCCGTGGCTACTTTCTCGTAGCCTTTGCGAAGGATCCCTGGGCCGCCTTCGGTAATCCCCGTGTAGTCGCCATCGGCACCCGCAGACTCGGAAGCCGCCGCGGTGGTATGGTCGGCTTTCCAGTGTTACGCGCACGGACTCTGGCTCTATGAGCACAGTGAGCGACAGACCGCCGGCGGCAACTGTCGGCAGACACTCACCTTTACGTTCGTTCGACAGGTACGTGACGAAACCATCGCAGATGAACACTTCTGAGGCGAGCAGAATCTTCTCGTCCTTACAAATGTCGACCCCTGATGTCATCAGATTGAAGAGTTCGCAGGGCATCCGGCTTTTGCGCGGCTTGTGCATAATCAAGAGCGCACTATGATGATAGCTGAACATGAATTCTGTAGAGAATACAATGTCCGCGACGTCTGCGGCTCCACTGCAAGACCTTCAGCAGGCCGGGCACCGGAAAATAGACTGGTGGGGTTTGCGTACGCATCAACGTCGGTATGTCTTTCCACTCGTGCCCTAGGTTCATAGCATGACTACCGACGGCTGGAAAGACACAGCCGTGCTTGCAAACACTTCGAGGGAAGACTATGCATCGAGCGCAGGTACAACGTGCTCATTCAGATAACGAGATCTTATCTTATCGCGTGATTTCTTATCATGAAAATAGTTACCTCCCTTGCCCATGAGTTTTTGTGCTGCAAATAGCATTATTTCTTTGCCAAAAAAAAGCCACCTTTTCAGCTCTTAGTGCGAAAATATTACAATTTTTGCACCCTTATTTACGCAAAAGAGGAAAAGATTCGTTTCGTGTCAGCGGATGCCCCGTGCCTACTAGTACAAGGTGCCCAAGGGCATAAAGAATAATACAATTACATGGCTAAAGCCCACTTTCGTCTCCACAGCTTGGTTGGGCAACGAAACGGCCCAGCCGGTTTCAGGCGTAGGACGAGCCACGCCTTGTCCGTTTCATACTGCACAGGCCGTGAATAGTCTTGATCTTCATGCATGAGAGGACAGTGGCGGCTTGGTGTCGAACCAAGTACAAGCGGAGTGTTTCGTGGACGCAGCCGCGCTGCGCTTTCGACTTTGCGCCACTATCTGCACCATCAGTACCCGAATTCGTGGAGCTTCACGCGTTCTATCTAACCGTCGCTCCAGTTCAATGAACAGCGAATTTACACCTCTACTGCAATGTTCGTCGGCTTGTTGTCCCTCGGAAGGTATGTGTCGGTATTCTAGCCCCTTGCCCATCCTCTAAGACTTGGGTACGGGTAGAACCTTGGTCTCACAATGTTTCTAATCAAAGTTTCCAGACGAGTCGCCAATATGGCTTCCTCGCCTAAAGCTTCAGCTTCAGCTGTCGAAAGAGCAAAGACATGTTGCGAGCTATCCCATGTGCTCTGCAACGCATGATCAGAGACATGTCGGACCATACTACGCGCTCTGCACAGGCAGGCTCTGGGACACTCTGCACTGAGTCCACGACACAACAAAACTCAGTACGCAGCTTCCGCGAGCAGTAATCATCGCGCGGCTGCA